CAGGGTTCCCCCATTGGGGGGAGATGGGTGGGGGAGAAATTTAATAATAAATAAAATAGATAGATCTAGAACAGATAAATAATACGTATCCACATACAACATGTAGATTGCATTTACACTGCAGTAAGCCATGGTTTCCTTCACAATGGTTTGTTGATTAGACCACAGTGGGCAAGGTTGATGCTGCTTGTTGTTGTTGTTGTTATTATCGTGTAGGACTTTGTCAGGATCCCTTATTTTATTTTTATTGTTTTAATTTAGCTTATTTTCTTTTCCCTTCTCAGTGTTTCAGAATAGAAACCTGTAGCTTTGGGCTAGATTGCCAGGAGGGATAATTTTGGCAGGAAGAATGGATGGAGGCTGGCCAATGGTTGGTACTTCACCCCTTAAATGTTCCTGTGATGAGAAGCAGATGTTCTGATTTAAGTGACTTTGTCTTTCTAGCCCCATTGCAGAAATTAAAAAGGAACTGGCTTGGTTCATTTTTGTCAGCAGCTGTTTTGCTTAGAACTACCATATGTGGGTTGCAAAAATCCAGATGACTGTTAGGTGGCAGCAAAAAGCTAGTTTTCTGTGTTGCTTTCCTTGCCATCTGGTGGTTGTGCAGACTTTTGCAGCCCAGTTACCATGGCCCTAGTTTTGTTAGATGGCTGTTTATTTCCCTTTTCCCTTTTTCCCCCTATTGTTTTGTGAACTTCCTGACACTCAAATTCAACTCACTGTAGGCTTATTTGTGTGATATAACAACAGAGCAATGAATGTAAATATATGGAGGATGTGGGCTGCAAGTTGTGCAGTACACAAAGTACAGTGATTGAGAGCAGACAGTTATGTAACATGTTGGGTGGATGTAGAATAGACTTGTCCAGATTCCAAGGACCTCTCAATGCCTGATGCTTGCCAATTAGCAGGAACATTGTGTATATCTTTTTTTTTCCCCTCCTTTCCTTGTAAAACCTGCACTGCAAACGTTGCGGAGTTTTCGGGGAGCACAGCGGCTTGTGCCCCTTGTTCCCCACCCAAAGCAGGCTGAGTAACAAACCTGTTAAGTACGGTACTCCTGTGAACTTGCTTCACTTGGAATTCCTTTTAGATTTAGATTTGCCTGTAGTTTTCTCCATCCTTGTTTAGGTGATATGGGTCTCACCAGATGAGAACTTCTCTGCTAATGAAATTATTGAGCCAAATTTAAGGGCTTGAAATCCAACACATTGGGGAATGCTGGCCTGCTTCTTTTCCTGGTCTCTGGTTAGCCTGTCACTTTATGAGAAAGGTTTGCCCAGTGACAGGCAGAAACTATTAATAAGAAAGTCCCTAAATCAGAAAGCAAACCGGTGTCAGCATGACAAGATGATATCTGGGTTAGGTTAGCCCTAGAGATTAATCCTCAAAGATTTTTCCAGCATTGCTTGGATATGCTTCTTTCATACCAGTATTTTTGAGAAAGACATAACAGTCCACCTCAAAACTGAAAAATGCAGTAATCATACAGGCATTTTATATGGGCATGTTGTATAGGATAAGTGAGCCCATTACAGATAAGCATATATAGCAGATAGTATTTTCAGTTGGCAGTATTTTAGCACATGGTTGTTTATGTTAAACATCACTTAAAATGCTTTAAACATTTTTCTGGACATCATATAAAGTGGCAAAATGCATGCTTTTTTAGTGTGGATATGATAAAATCATAGGATATATAGTTCTCTATACCTGTCATGGTAAACAATATTGTGAAAAATAATTGGGTACCACTAGCCATCATGGTAAAATAATGACAGGAAGTTCATTTTCTCCTCATTAGAAATGTTGCAGCAATGCAGAACTGTGATGTTCTTTACTTTGTGTTTCCATTATTAATTCTGTCAGCTATAATATTAGGAAAGGGTACTATTTTTACCTAGCAGAGTGATTAAAAAATAAAATAAGTGAGTGACATAAATGACACCACTGCTAAGGAACTTATGAATGTCCACTTAGTTGTTTTTGACACTAAAATTACACACACTAAGGACTGAAGAGTACTGTTAAGGATACTAGTACAGTCAGAAGACAGTGGGATAAGGACACAGCAAAATGCAATGTCTACAACATGGAAAGTTGATTATAATTCCATGAATAGCTGACAATAGAAGAATGGTGATTTATTTGTGTTTGGAGCTGTCTACCTGAAGCACCTTCAATATTTGTGCATGAAAAATGTTCTGTGCCTTGCCTTTCACTTGAGAAGGTATATGTATTGGCACCACATTCATTAGGTAAACAGCACATATTTCAAAACAGATGATGAATGTCAAGTGTCAATAGATTATTAATGTAATCCAGGCAAAGCCCAGGTGAGATGTTGTGCTTGCCAAGGCAAAATGATCAGTTGGATTGAAGATAACTTGTATTTAGTGTTGGACTTCACATAGATGTTTTGTAGAGATTTTGGACAGGCGGAATTTGGCAGCAGAAAAATAGGTTAATTTTTATTAAACCATCCAATGCCAAAGGAATTGTCCAAATAACAAAACTGGTGGTTATATTCATGACTGCCAACAGAGTCAGTCTTTTTTTTATGTACAAGTAGTCCTTGCTTAGCAACCATTCATTTAGCAACCATTTGAAGTTATGATGGTGCTAAAAAAGCAACTTATGACCGGTCCTCACACTTATAACCATCGCAGCACCCCCGCAGTCACATGATCATAATCCGGGCACTTGGCAACCAGCTCACACAACGTTTGCAGTGTCCCAGGGTCACGTGATCGCCATTTGTATCCTTCCCAGCTGGCTTCTGGCAAGCAAAATCAATGGAGAACTGTGATTCACTTAAAAACTGCCATAAAAAATGTCATAAAATTGGGTGCAGTCATGTGCTTTGCTTAACGACTGCCCTGCTTAACAACAAAATTTCCGGTCCCTATTGTGGTCGTTAAGCAACAACTAGCTGTATGAATGTATGTATGGGGGAATACCTTTGGCTTCTTAAAATCGCAGGGATTGACATCATGTAGATTAAAATATTGTTTATGGTTTTGTTTATGAGAAATGCCATCCCCTTCATTTATAGGACAGGGAGAGTGATGTCTATGATATATGGGCCACATTGATATTAAAACAAACAACCAGATACCAGTGCACATTTAGAGATCCAACCATAAAAAAGAAAAATGTTTATCAGTTGGGGATGTTAGTCATATTTTACAAGAACTGTTGTGAAAACTGAAATGGTTGCATTAATTTTATCCACAAGTTAAGAATGAGTTTGATTAAAACTAAACATAGGAATAGGAATTGGACAAATCATACATCCTAAGCTAGTAAGGTAGAGGATAGTATTCACTCGCTTGATTTTTTTTGCCACTACTTTCTTTTCCACAAGTTTTCACAACTGGAAAAGTGTGACTCCCCCACCATACCTCCTGTTTACCAGTAGCTGTTAAAAGTGGAACTCCAGGCTTCTCTTTCATTATCATACAGTTCTTAAATTATTGGGGTATGCAACTGTTACTTGTCTGCAGGTAATCTAATTAAAACAGCTTGCAGAAATCTTTTATTTATTTTTATATTCCAGTTATAGCTCAACAGCCTATCCCTTTTGCCTTGTTGGGAACCATTGTGTTAAGCTGAAAAGAATATGGCAATAAACATTTCTGGACAATCTTCCTGCTCTGGAGTTGCCTATTTCAATGAAAATTCATACCGTTGCACTTTTACTTGTAGGTGTTGCATACAATCCTCAATGATTGGGAGGAATGTTCAAAAGTAAATCTTTACACTTTCTATTTGGATTAGCTTTCCTGATAACAAAAGCAGCAGCTTTAGCAAACAAGCTCCCGCAGTAGCCACAATGTGTCACTGCTGTAGGAAAGCATCTTTATCCTGGGCGTATTTGACAACCTTATCTGTGTGCTATCAAAAAGTCTTACCTACAGATTTCAGTAGAGTACAGATTTAGCAGTTATCCTTTAAAAGGTGGTTGTTTCTCGGTCATTTGCTGGTCAAGCGTGTCCTCAAACTAGTTCTGGAGATTATATTTTGATTGTCTATATCTCATTGTATACATAATATCATATTCTATGTATATCATAGAATGTTCCTTCTAGTGTCATGTATTCTAAAAGAGAGCCTATAAACACCTTTCTGTCTATACATAATACACGGGTATGTTTGTAGCAGATTTTTGCTGCTTTTTCAGTATGGACCTAGTGGCAAGCGTGGCTTTCCCTCTGCATGAAGCTTGAAATTACGTTTGTATATGCGTACACGTGGCTGTATGTGAGCAACAATTTCTGTTCCTAAGCCACAGTTTATCATCACCTCTAGGAACAGTTGCACTGCAGTATGAAAGTACATGATTTTCATGGCCAAAGATGCCAGATTACCTCTTTGGCATTTGTATTTAAAAGGTGTAAGTGACAGGCGAAGAGAAAGACCTTTTATTGCACTGAGTTGGCAAGGCACTATCATTTGACTAGATGGGGAACCACCTGATTGGTCAGAGGCAGCTCCCTCTCTTCACATGTGTATATGAGAATCTCTTTCTTCCTCATATGGCACTCTCGAAGGAAGCATATCCTCTAAGAAAGCAATCCTGAAAGCATCATCTGAAGATGTTGGAAGCCTTGCCTGCTTGAGCAATCCTTCTAGCTTCTTGGGTGGCATTTCTTTAGTCTCTATAAGTCAAGCCTCCATCACAGTTGAGACATACCTCTGTTAAATCTTAGTGATTGGGCATATTGATACAAAAAGAGGCAGTGTCGGAGACATCCTTTAGGGGTTTTAATAACCTTACCAAGCTGAACCTTACCAGTTCAGTTATTAAAAGAGAGGGTTGTTACTGCATTTGGGGTCAGGTGGAATTTCCAAAGACTCTTCAGAATTAGCTCTCAATACAGCACATTTCATTAAACCAGTTTAGACGTAACATGGGTTTGTATATATTGGCTGTACTTCTATAAGGTTCTTGGCCCATCCTGATGCTATTCTGATCAACTGAGATATAAATGAATGGTGGAAATTAGCATCTCAGCCCATTTTTAGTAATTTGTTTAATAAGTAAAATAAATTAGTTGTCCATACTAAAGAGTTCTGTGTCCCTATTCAGCCACTGTTTGTTATTTATTTACCCAATTTTAGAAGAAAAGAACCCATCTCTTGTATCTACCATCCTACTTACCTAAAACAAACCTAGGCCTGCTGGACAGAGCAGGATATGCATATCACTAAAAAGTATTTACAAGAATTCAGAACCTGTTAAAAATCAGTATGTTTAAAATAATAGGACTGTCACTGACAATTTCTTGTTCTGTTGGGATGGCATGGTTAGACATTTCACAGTATAGCATTCATTTAGACTTTTCTTTAATCATGTTGTCTTGATTTGTAGACAAGTAGGCTAGCCAGCTATCATAACTAATTCTCTTGCAGATAAGATGATCAAGCCAAATAAACTGTTTTTATACTTCATAGAAACTTGGTTTATTGAATACTGCAGTCAGGGTGAACTTCAATTGGATGCCATGACTCTCTTATCTGCAAAGCTGAGTCAGCGAGGGGAGGGAAGGAAAGGGGACTGTCCCAGTCTCAAATATAATCTTGCCTTGCAGTTTAAAGACAAGATCTGGAACCACTCAGAGCTTCATAGCACGTTGTCTTCCATGATTAGGTCAGGGAGCAATTATGACATGTTGACCTGAGTTATTTGCAGTAACATTTCATGGGCTTAACAATAGCTGATGAGTCTCTATGGAGCAGAAAAATTGAAAATGGCTCCAAATATTTTTCTCACATCATGATTTTTCCTATGTGGCTTTCGTTAGCTATGAAACAAATAATAACTTGCTGCTCAAATAAAATGGGTTTAGCTACATTGACTTTGATTTGTGTTCCTTTCTTTTGAAACACAGTTTCTTCATATATTACTGATCGGTTTTAAAGGTGTATGTTTAAATTTTGTGCAAAGTATCTGAGACAGACTAGCATTTCTTCATTTGCTGTATACATAGCTAGGTCTGTCTTAGATAGATCCCAATGACTTTCCTAGAAACAATGGGGAAATCTCTACTCTGAGAAAGTCATAATTCTTGTATGTGTTCTGTCATCACAGTTACTATACTACAGATATGTAATTTTCAAAGAAATTGGTTCCCTTACTCATCTTATCAAGGATAAAGAATTAAATGTTGCACTTGAACATCTAAACATATCCCAGGGTATATGTGTTATCGTTTGGAACCTAGTTGCTTAACTCTCAGTAAAACGGTGCCTTAAATATGTCATTCAGCATTTAAGTGAACTATTGAACCACTTTTTTTTAATGTTCTTCAGAAATTACACCTAGATTTTAACCTCTTTTCATACAGTGCTCATGTGTCACAAGTCAACAACATCCCTGCTACTGGAGAGTAAGTAACTCTTTCTCCCTTGTTACTCTGTTCTTTAGTTCTTGTTTTTCGTATTTAAATATCTCATCATTTGTGTGTGTGGCAAACATACCACATCCTTGACAGCACTAATGATAGATATAATTGAAGATAAGATTGTGGTTGTGTAGTTTAAGTTGTTTCAGTCAAAACCTTTTTGTGCTCAGCCACCTAATAGAGAGAAAGTATCCTGTGGTGTCTGTTGATGAATGCCCAAATGATTCCTGAAGAGCTGCCTTGAACACGGTGCTGACATGATCTTCCTAAAAAATGCTAGATCATGTGAATGTTGTTATTGAATGTAGTATCCTGCCTCTACCCAATTTGCCAGTTGTTAACTTCTTAAAGAAGAGTATATTTTAAGATTATTTAAAGCCAATTTGATATGTGTTAACTGATCCTGAGTAAGCACTGTTTCACATTTGTTGTATTCTCAAGAATTTTTCCATTCAGGTAACATCCAGTCCCAGGTTGCTTAGATTCAGAAAGACTGCATGTCAGCATTCAGATTCCTTTCAGTTGCATCCCTTAAAAGAACCAGCCCTTTTCTCTCCCCCAAAAGGCATGGATATCCTTTTTGTTTTCCCCCTGGATTTTTTTCCCCTTAAAGTACCAAAAAAATTCAAGGTACCTCTTTTAACCTTAACAACAAAAACAGAGACACTGTCCCCAACAAAAAACCCCCGCATCTCAACAAAAAGACCTATTCTCCCTTTTCCACCTGCTTGTCTGCCTATTAAAGAAAAATCTTGCAGTGTTTGCTTATATTTTTTTATCAGTAGAGGGTGCTATATGTTGAAAAAGAGACGGTCTGTAAAGAAGGAAAAAAGCAGCTTATTTTGATGAAGGCAGGGAATTGTGTGTTTACAGTAAAAACTATCAAAATAACGTTAATAAAGAAAATAAGTAAGCCACAGAGAGTTCCTATGTAAGCCACTGAAAGTCAGCAGGCTGGCCTGAGTGGTCCCCTGAACTTGGAGTGGATTCAGAAGAACTGGGTTTTTTTCTCCACTTAGCCATACGGTTCCCTGGATGAACCTGGGACAGTGTCCCTTTCTCCAATTAACCCTACACAAGTAACATGGGACTCCGAAAGGGAGCCATGCCCTGTGCCTCCCAGGAAAAGCAGATACAAATGTATTTGTGGAGTCCTTGGGGTTCTCTGAGCTTGGTTGTTTTCTTGCAAACATTTGGTTACCTGGCTTCAGTGCACTGAAGATGTTACCTAGCCGGGTAACGAAACATTTGCAAGAAAACAACCAAACTCAGAGAACCCCAAGGACTCCACAGTTCAACCCTGAGCTACATATATTCCCTTCTATTGGTACAATTGCATTTATAGTTCAGGTCGTTGCACGCTAGAAAACAGATCCATATAAGAAGTGATTCGG